TATATATATATATATAGCCTTTTTACATTTCTTTGTATATTTATATATTTCTAATTTTCTCTTCAGTTTCTTTTGCTTGACTATGAAACAACTTCCCAGGCCAGTGCTGCCACCTTGCGGATCAACTTTGAAATATCGCACTTGGAACAAACATTAGGTGCATTTTTTTCGGATGGCGAAATTTAACGCACAAATAAATACCAAAGTATACTTTGGGCTTTAGGACACATCTGCTTTTCAAAACCCATTAATCAACTGGATTTTTTGGGATGTACGATTTCTCTGCTGAATTTTTATATTACACTAACTAAAACCCATTGTATGAAATATTGTTGATATTACAATGAAACATGATGTAGTCAATTACATTTCTAGCTAAAAGCGAGTCTTGAACAGGTAATTCTTGTGACCAAATTTGTGAATCAGACCTGTGCCTTCAGGGCTTTGTTGTACTGGTGTATTTCTGTCATAGCATCTAGCGTTGGGTTATTGGCCAGCAGCCCTCCATCCAGAAAACGGCCCATTGGTCGAAAGTAAGTGGGAGCAGCTCCACTGGATCGGGCGGCACGCCAAACTAATTGCTCTGAGAGAAAGAGGATGTGACTGAGCGAGAGAACCAAGAGTGCACAAGTTGATTAGCCTCCCAGAAACAAACTAACGACTGCTTAGTTCCAACGTGAGGTACGACTACGCATCCAACACCAGAAATCATGCATACTGTGACCTATCTGTTCCACACACACACTCTCTCTCTCACACACACACACACCTTCATCCGTCACCTTTCTACGCTTTCTGGGAGGTCGAGTATATCCTAATACCAAAAGATCTTCGTCCTCCCACCCTGCAACAGTCACAATGAAGCTTTACGCATTATTTGAGATTGAGGATAACTAAGAAACCAAGAGCACGAACATGAGCGTTTTCACCGGCACAAAGATAATTAGCGTAACAACATCCCGAGAACGAAAGTACACAAGAGATTTACCCTTCGGCACAGTAAGGGGTTGAAATGTGGCTGTAGATGTGTATGGAGGGTCTCTTTGCAGGGCTGGTGGGTCGTAATTACGAAACAGATGCAGTTCACCAGGATGTCTGTCTGCAAGAACGCTAGTCACCATTACTCTGAGAAAAACAGACAGAAGATGTATTAAAAACAAGCCTTTTCTGAAGAATATGTGGGATGTTGGCTTGTGCAAAACTCACTGGCCCTGTTCTAAATGGTATTCATGAGTACCAATCTGAAAGCTAAAATGTAAGTCACTGTAAGTCCACAAGTTCATATGAAGTGTGCCATTTGGGACAGGACCAACGTTGCCAGTTGGTGTTTCGTTAAGGTGCTTGGGGGGTGACTACGAGCTATCAGGCAGTTGGTGTTCTTTTCGCTAAGGCATTGTGAAGGAGTTATGGCTATAGTTGCTAGTGCATTACAAAGGAGTAGTAGGGTGTTGCTAGGGTGTTGCTAAGGGGTGTTCAGAGTCGTCACAAAAGACTTTATGGGTGGTTGCATTGCTAGGGTGTACTGGGCCGTTACTAAGGCATAGCTAGAAAATTGAGTGTTTGCCATGTTATTCTAGGTCAGGGGTCGGCAACCCGCGGCTCTTTCATGCCTCCGCGGTGGCTCCCTGTAGCATGGGCACAGAATACGCGGGGGACATGGTCCCCCAACTTTTAATAAAACCTAAACTATTCCCCTGCACTTTTTTCAGGAAAGTGTGTTCATGTAGACGTTTTATTCGTATCCAAAACGATATGAACATTACGGAGCGCTCAACACTCTCATTCAGTGTATATTTCATTTATACTTGAAGCCAGAGAGCGCTCTCGCACAGAAAGTCCAAAACGGACTCATAGAAGTAGTAATAACTTATGATGTGCCAGGAAATCCATAATATGGACCAAGGCATCCAGCTATTGCTGTTGCTAAGCTGAATAACAAGCATAAACCATAACTTGATGAAACGTAAAGACAATAAATGATTGCGACAATATATGGTTTATGTGTTTCAAGACATGAGAAACTTTTTTTTTTGTAAATTAGACAAACATACATAAATAAAATTATTATTATTACTACACTTGACATTTCTGTCTCCCTCACTTCTGAAATGATTGCTGCGCCCCTGCCCTGTAACATAACTGAATATACAACTTTAGTTATATGCCGTGTTATCTTCATTTTAGGAATTGAATAGGTTTTGTGGCTCCAAGTGAATTTTATTCGGTGGGAAAGGGGCCAAAATGGCTCTTTTGATGTTGAAGGTTGCAGATCCCCGTTCAAGGTGGTTGCTAGGGCATTGCTAGGTGGTTAACAGGGTATTGTAGTTTTTTTTGCTTGAACATTGTTATGGTGTTCGGGTGGCTGCTAGGCAGAGGTTGCCTTTGTAATTTGGTGGCCTATTTAAAAAAAAAAAACATTCAGAGGAAAAGGCTGCTTCCATTGTCAGGGTGTTGCTAGGTTAGTATGGTTGGTGGTGTGTTCAGGGTCATCACTAAGATATTTCTAAGGAGTTCTGGGTGGTTGCTATAGAAGGGCATTGCTAGGGTGTACCAGTTTGTTTCTAGGGCATTGGAAATTCTTGCTATATTTGCTAGGTTTTAGGTAGTTGTTAGGGTGTTCTGGGTCTTTGCAAGGTCATAGCTAAGGAGTTCTGTTTGCTAGGCAGTTGTTAGGGTGTTTCGGGTGGTTTTAAGGACATTGCTATGATGTTGTGAACTGATGCATGGGTATTTAGGCTGGTTGCCAGAACACTGGCAGTAAGGGCATTGCTAGGTTCTGAGTGGTTGCATGTGTGTTTTGGGTGGTTGCCAAGCAGTTGTTAGGGCGATCTGAGTGGTTTCTAAGTCATTGCTTGGTCACTGAAAGGATGTTCTGTGAAAGGATGAGTAGTTGCGAGGCAGTTGTTAAGGTGTTTCACGTGGTTGTACGGGAATTACTATGATGTTCTGAGTGGTTGCATGGGTATTTAGGGTGGTTGCCAGAGCGTTAGCAGTAGGTAGCTGATGCAATGCTCTCATTATTTTGGGGAGTGGCTGCATGGGTGTTTGGGCGTTTGCAGTTGTTAGGGTATTTCGAGTGTTGCTAGGGCATTACTTGAGTTTTGGGTCATTGCTAAGTAATAATAAAATGTTCTGAGTTTTTGCTAGGGACCAGCTAGGAAGTTCTGAGTGGTTGCTAAGGAGTTAACAGGGCATTTCGGGTGGTTTCAAGGACATTGCTAGGTTCCGAGTCGTCGCATGTGTGTTTTGGGTGGTTACCAAGCTGTTGTTAGGGTGATCTGAGTGGTTGCTAGGTCATTGCTTGGGTATTCTGGTGGTTGATATGGCATAGCTTGATTGGTAGTGGCCAGGCAGTTGTTAGGGTGTTTTAGATGATTGCACGTGGTTACATGGGTGTTTTTGGGGTGGTTGCCAAGCAGTTGTTGATCCAAGTGGTTGCTAGAGCATTGCTTGGGTATTCTGGTGATTTACAGGGCATTGCTACGCAGTTGTTGTTGGGTGTTTTCATGCTGTTTGGTTTCGTTAAAATCCCAAACCTTAAATATAAGTACCTGGGGTGAGTGACATCCGTCATCTTGGTATTTTCTCCAAACTCATTCTTGAGAAATTCCTCCAGAGGGCCAGACTCATACGGCCGAGAACCTTTAAATACCTGTTCCTTCATCCTGAAGTACAGACAGCGCAGATACTCCATCGATTTACCTGCTCACGAATACAACAAACACAATTATACTGATGCATGTACACACAGTCAATAAGAACATATTTTATAATTATATCAAGGATCATTCTGTTCAGGATCCTGATTGGTCAATACGGTGTTATAAATGTACGTAAATAGTAAATACTACAACAAATACCGTGTACAATAGCTAGGGCCAGTATGCCACCAGTGCTAGTCCCAGACACCCAGTCAAAGAGTTCCCTGATGGGCCGTCCTGCTTCTTTCTCCAAAGCGATCAACATCTGGATCAGAACCAGTCCCTTTATTCCACCACCATCTAGACACAGCAATCTGTCCATTCTTGAGAAAAAGAAAAGCAAGTGAGCGATCAATTCTGTGTAGGCTTGTTCTCATCTATGTTAAATGTATGTAACATACTTCTTGCTTCCTGTCTTGAGCCCATCGACCTCTACAAATCCACGACTCATGGCCGTGACAGCTGCCGCCACGTGCATGATGTCATCAAACCCTATGGACCAATTATGGGAAAGATATGAGAGCAGTGAACCAAACTGATGGCAGGTTGACGCTATCATAGATTTGCAATACCTATATACCGCTGTTGCAATAAGTGATACGCAAGCACGGCCGTCAAACTGGAAAGGTCAATATCCACCAGTAAAAACACATGCAAGTGATGACGCAACAAGCACCATGCTTTATCAGCATGCATTTATCATCAACTGTGAAACACTACCCTCTTTTGTCTCGCCGGTTTGCATCATAGGCTATACAGTGTCATGGCATTTATGTTGGTGTAATTATAGTAGGCTGGTGAGTGATTGTTTGAGTGCAACCCAAAATGTTGACCTTTCCAAGATGGCAGCTGCTACTGACAAATCTGAATGATTCAAATGGGCCATCTAGGTATGTAAATCCGGTTTTTATGACCACAGGAAGCTTTATAAAAAAAGAAGAAAAAAAAGAATTAGATTTAGAAATACAAGCAGCACAGAAATAAAAAAAAAATAAAAAAAATTTAGGAAGGAAAAAAGAGAGGACAGAATTTTGGTGGCCATTAAGTACTAATTTAAATTAATATTTAAATTACAATAATTTAAGTAAATTTAAATAGTAATAATTGTAATACTTAAATGATAATAATTTTAATTAGTATTTAAATTTGTACATTATGTTCCAAAAAGCAGTCAGCATATTTATTCTACCTTATAAAATACCGTGTAGTGGAGAAGGCACTCCCAGAATGCTCTGCAATGAGTTCAGCTAAAATATTCATCCACATGGTGGACAAAATCAGTAGAAATGTCAATTTACTCATGTGCCAAAATTTACTTATTTTTTTACAGAATATTTCTGCATTTTACACGAATTAGAGTGTCATGTTGTTAGCTTAGCAATATGCTAATGCCAAAACATTATTAAAATCAATTCGTGAGTCGAGTCTTCAGTGCTCTTCATGTGAGGAACCCCATTTGTATAACGCATGAGCTGTTGCCCATGTCGAACGTTCCAAATTGGCCACTCATCAGCCTATGTAGGCAGTACCTAACCAGGTTTTAGAACAAAGTCACACTTGTTCCTCTGAACACTACTGAAATAACAACATAAAAAGTACAGGAGACGACTGAAGGACAGAGGTGAAATACTGACAGGAAAGCGGAAAGTTTGGGGGCGGGGGCTTTACCTATGCCAGGAGGCGGAGCTTTGTTGACACTGAGGATAGGGCTGTTGAGGGAGGGGGGGTGACACCGCTCGGCCCCTACACTACACAGCATGTTCAAGAGCACCTTACGGTTGGGCCCTTCAGCATAAGTGCAGGATTAGACACACGCATGCCGTAACACACCCACACCATACACACGGAAGACAGAAAGAGTATGCGTTAACTGAATGCATGAATGAGAAAACAAGAGCATGACATTTCATTCTTGTAGTCAAAAACTTAGATGTGCAAAAACCATCAAGACACGCAGGCTGTTACATAGTTTGTGGTGATGCACTCACAAGAATTACTACAACCAATCAAAACAGCAGGACCTATCAGACAGCTTCTGCCGGTTTTTCAAGAGAATAGCATAGGCTCCTTATGATGCTGAAGACATTTGCCCCCTCTTTTCTGTTTAAAATAGTCTAGAACTTTTTGTGATTAATAAAAAAAATAAATACATACATAAACATATTTTTTAAATAAATAAATATTTAATTTCAAATAAATACGTTTATTTTTTAAAGAAACAATTTTAACAAATATTTAATTTAAAATTTTAATTAAATGAAAAAAATTATACATTTTTTTAACAAAAATATATTTAAATAAATAATAAACAAATAATAAAAAAATAAACTCCTGGTGGCTTTATACACATGAAATGTGCTATGACTGGCTGAGAAATTAAACACTTTAAAACACATTTAAAGCAAAACAAAAGCAAATCATTAGTGTGTCAACAAATGAACAACACACAAACTTGCATTGTGTGCTGTTGCACAGTTGTATATATGCATATCAACTCAATTTATGGTGGTTTACGGTTAGATAATGTTATGCTTGCATGCAAACACCTCAAAAGTTGTCATGCAGCACACTTAAACAAAGGGCTCTGTGACACTGTGCAACCAGAAATTTAAAAAGAACTTGAATACATTGGCGACTGTTCTGCTAGCCTTCAATTGGGTGTCTAATCTCACATCTCTTTCTCTCTTTCTCTCTCTCACCCTTGCTGGTACGGGCTGCGATGAGTCCCGGTGTCTCTCCCAGGTCATTGTGAACTTCGACATCTGCTCCAAACACCATGAGAGCTTTGATCAGGTCCATGTGGTCCAACTGAGGGTCCAGAGGTTACAGCATACAAGAAAAAAACAACAATACCAACAATTTCTGTTAACTTTCAAAAATTTATAATTATTCAGTCAATTAGAGTGTGATCACAGTTACCCTAAGAAGATACTAAAATTAGGAATTAAGAGTGTCACACTGTTTCACAAAAATGGTTTTATTTGTTTGCAAAAAATTTATTTTACTTATGTTTCTAATAAATAAAACTACTACAATTTCTTTCATTGAAATAAAGCTAAAATAAAATAAAATATTAATATTAGATGAAAAACAAAAATTAGTCCAAGTATAACCGGTTTAAGATGAAGTACTCATTAAAGTATCAATTTGCAAGTACTAAATTAAAGTTAAATAGAAATAGAAATATAAAAATATAAAAAATAAATATACAGACTAAAATGTAAATAAAATTTAAATGAAAACAGAAAATATAAAAAGCAAATTAAAAATATTACATTAATTAAATTTCATAAATATGAAAATGACACTGTACCAGATAATTTTACCCCATATTATCATGACAAAAAAAGAACTATTTTTTTGCCAAAAATTATTACCATAATGAAATTTTACAATTTTACATTTGAGATTTTTTCAATTTTCAATAAATGCGTTTTATTTTTAGTCATCATGCAATATATATGAACTTTCATAAATCAATACACAAATACATATTACTAATAAATAATAATAATTTTGTAGTGAGAATAATAATAGTTATTGTTTTACTAAAATTATTATTTAATCATCATTACTGTAATACAATTCTTTTTAATAAAAATTGCATAAATTACATAAATTTCATTTAGATTGAGGTGAAATATGAGCCAGAAATGTTCTTGACAGGCTTTATGAAATCCTCTCTCATACCTTCATGGCGAGGTGCAGTGCTGTGTTTCCATCCTGACCCTTAATGTTGGGGTCGGCTCCGTGGGTCAGCAGCGTCATTGCGGCCTCAAAGCGCCCCCTCTTGGTCAGGATGTGTAATGGACTCTCTCCGGTCTTGCTCAGATAGTTGATGTTACATCCTCGGTCCAGCAGCACACGGCTCATCTAGAGAGAGAACACACAGGACAGTCAAATAACTAACACTTAGAATTCCTCTTGGTCAGGATGTGTAACGGACTCTCTCCGGTCTTGCTCAGATAGTTGATGCTACACCCTCGGTTCAGCAGCACACGGCTCATCTAGAGAGAGAAAACACAGGACGGTCATACAACTAACACTTACAATTCCTCAAGCACAAAAAACAAAGGGAAGTGTTTCTGACCTCGGCAGTCTTGGCCCAGTGAAGAGGTGTTCCGCCATAAATCGGATCCTCCGCCAGAAGTTGATTTGGGTTGGTGTTTAAAATTGCTTCGGCACAACTAGGAGGAGTGAGACTGAGTTAGAAGCCTGCGTGTGAATTATCAATTAAAAAGCAAAGAGAAGATTCTTGTCCTGCACCTTTTCTCACTAAACTTCATGACGGTGTGGATTGGATAGCCATTGCTTCCCATGATGTCACAGCGGGCTCCGCCCCCCAGCAGGCCCTTGACCGCCTCGACCCTCCCGAGACGGCATGCAATGTGCATTGGTGTTTCCCCGGCGGCGTTCAGCTCATTCACACCCATGCACATCTGTGCACACAAAACCTACGAGCAACAAAAATAAAATACACAATCATAGACACTCGAATTTGGCATTCAGCAGATAGTATGTAAGCCCTAAATTGACCTCTCACCTCTATAACACCAGCAGAGTCTTGCTTAGCAGCGCAGTGCATGGGCGTCTCTCCGTTCTTGTCCTTGATGTCCGTGCGAGCCTGACACTCCTCCAGGAGCTCACGCACGCAGCCCACATCTCCTCTCTCGCACGCCAGGTGCAGAGGGGTCTGACCCTGGGCATCACGGGCATTCATCTGACTGCAAGGGACCACAAACAATCACAATGTTTAACATTTTGTTCTTGATTTAATGTTTTTTTTTACATAAAGGTTAGTTTAAAAATGGCCAGGTTTTTATAAACGCAATATATATAATGCTTATATATAATTTTTTACAACAGTACATTTAATATAATTAAAAATAGAATGTGGAAACTTCTCAGATACAGCGTATGTGACCTTTGAACTTTGTCCTTTTCTAGATATCTCACCTCAGAACGTAATTGTGTTTGAGACAGTCTCTCAGTCCAGTATCCACGGCGACATGAGCCGAGCTCCAGTCGGGGTGATTCCGCACACAGTCTACGATTGGCTGGAACGTTTCAGGTTTCAGCGGTGGGCGGAGCATCTCATAAAATGGGCGGAGTTTGAGGGCATACTGAGGGAACCAATTCATGGCGTCATCCTCTGAAGCAACCTGGAACATCCTGAGCACAAAGAGAGCAAATTCACAATTCTGGAAACCCACGTATGATGAGCTAATGAAGTGGATGACAATGGAAAGCCATATTCAGGGTGGTGGTGTTATTTAAAGGGGTCATATGATGCTTTTTTAAAGATCATTATTTTGTGTATTTGGTGTAACAGAATATAGTGTGGATCCACAATGGTTCTTTGTGGTCAAGGCTTCCCACTGCTGGTTACAGTCATGTGCTGATGGGAAAGCAAACCGATTCGACATACTGTGAAGCAATATGGGAGTTTTTGCTAAATTATGATGAAATCAAAGGACCGTTGTGACTTTTGCAGGAATCCAATTTATTGGCTGAAGATGGGTCGCGCTGTATTGTGAAGCTTAACTAAAAGGGTCTCACCTCAGAGCCACAGATGAAGACTCGGGCCAGAGAAGCAGGCAGTCCCACGAATGGCTCTGTTGGTTCCTGTACAGGACCAGCCTGCCCTCCTGTTTCAGTAGCACTTTGCCATTATAATCCGACAGCTGCACATCCCTCACACGGTACGGGTTGGAGAACAGAGTCGACACGGAGCTCACCGTGTCCAATATACGGCCCAGGAACTGCATGGTGACCTGGGTAAGAGAAGGAAGTGGAAAGCTGATGCATTGATCAGGGTTCTCATATCATTTGACAAACCAAAAAAATATTTTGTAACTTCTCTCTTCTAAAACTATATATATATATCAATTTTTGAATTGGATGATCAGGGTAAATTGTCCTTATTTTCTCTTGTGGGAAACATGCAGTACTAAATGAAAAAAAAATATGATATTTAATCAAAATCAGAAAAATTTACACATTATCATCCTGTTCAAAAGTTTACTCTCTTGATGCATCAGTAAATGTTTTGACCTTTTGTTATAGTTATGTATGAGTCCCTCAATTGTCCTCAGTTTGAAAAAAATGGATCTCAAAATCATACAGTCACTGTTGGAAAGGGTTTATATGCAGAAGATGCTGGAAAACCAAAGAATGTGCAGGAGCTGG